ACCCCAATTATTTATTACTATTATTATTAATGATTCCCATTTATGTTGACGGATGATGATTGTTACGCGACCAAAATATTCTAGTTGGTAGCATTATCTTATTGTATACAACCATCAAAAATAAATGATACTATATTATTTATTGTACGCAGCAACTACATCATAAATGACTAAAAAACTGAGAGTAGTTGTTAAAATAATTGTCACCATTTTATATTCAGCAATTGCATGCGGAATAGTGTTGGTCGTCAAAACTATTTTGAAGAGGCAAAAATCAAAACTAATGGCAAAACTTTTTGACTTTTGCACAAATTACGAAACTCTTTAGCTTTGGAAACCATTACTATTCATTGATGCTCCGTCTAATTTGGGAATCTCAACAACACGTTGCATAAGAAGCACTGTTAGACGGTCAAGTCGTTCTTCTGTTGTTAACGTTCTATTACTTTCACCAATTTCTAAAAATAAAGATGGAGGAATTAAGGCTTTCAGCTCATCATGTGTGTGTTTTTTAAAGAAGTGTTTCTGTATAACGCCCCATGGTTTGATTCGACCAACACCTGAAACAATAATAAAGATCATTGCAAATGTGAATAATATGTATTATGTATTATGCAATAATGATATATTGGTATCTAATTACCAAATAAAATGGCATAGAGTGTCAAAAATGTCCCCCATACAGCCAATACATTTGAAATGACAGACAGAAACTAGTATAAAAATTAAATAATTTATCAATAATAATGACAATGGCAATAACATTGTCATCATTGTTATTAATTAATAAATATACTTACGTCCTTATTTCTGTATTACGATCAAAAAACAATTCATTATCAGAAATTAATATAATTATTTCAATTCATGTGCTGAAATATCTTGTTGAAATTTTTGGAACATAAATATCTAAAGGAAATTTGGAAAAGATATTCACATTTCAACAAAAAATTTCAGCACATGTGTAATTCAATCACTCATTAATTTTATTTACTTGCCTTTGTTCTGTCCGCGTTTCAAGCACAAAGTTATGAGGGTCAATCATAAATCCTGCCACTCCCGGTGCAAAGAATGAAGAATTCCTTGACGTGGGGTCTAGACAATTTATTATTTATATAGAATCATTTATGATAATATATTTAAACAAAAAAAATTATTTAACTTACAGATGATTGTTGTGATATAAGATTGTGTCTCACGGTTTGGTTGAAATCCGAAATTATCTTTGAATGAGGGTGTTATTCTATTTGTGACCTTCCTGGTCATCCGAACATGATAGATCTAAAAATATATCATTCATTATAAACAATTTTATTGTTACACGCCATTATCAATATATCATCATTATTATTTATTATTATTTACATTTTTTCCTATAAAATATCTATTTGCTCGGAAAATCGACGTAATAAGAGATGATGTGTCTGATGAGTTATCGAAATAGGTATCCTTAACTGCCTCGGCATACATTGCCTCTGAACTTTTTTCATCACCTATTTTTTAAAAAAAGAATCATCAATCAACCAATCAGTCAATCCAATCAACATTTCATGTAATAATTTATACCTGAGTCAAATATATTAATTGTAAAGGCAGGAAGGTCCCCATCTATAATACCATCGTCATCAATCTCTAATCTAAAAAGAATTCGTTTTAACCGATTTATCGGTTGATTATAGGGGAAGGATAAGTTTTTTGGTGAAAATTTACCGGTCCAAAATGGACCAAGAGGTGTCGGTTGAATGATATGTTCTGAACAAATAGTGCCGGTATTCTCTTCTAGTACTAGAAATGAATAATAAAAAAGCGAATTAATATATATGATGTAATACAAAATATAGTTACACGATACATGTGATTTTACCAAATGATTCGAATGATTCGTACAGTAGAAAACTGCACTGAATCGTGAAGGATTTTCGAAACTGGAACGAAATTACTATACAATAATAACATTAGTTTAAAAGGTATCAAATTTACGGTCTATATATTAACCAATAAATTAAATTCACCTGGTGAAGGAAATTCCGCTATTGGAGAATGCTCTATTGTATACAAGCAAAAAAATCAAATTTAGCTCAAGTTAATCATCCAGTAAATATTTATGCGCTAATTAAATCCAGGGTGTCGCGGAAAATTTTTTAGTGATTGAGTGTAAAGGTCGAATCTATTTTTTTACCAGTAGTAATAGTTGGCAAATCATTTAGTACTCCCGTTGCGAGTATAACAAAAAGAGCTAGTAATAATGCTGCAAATACTCCAATGATAATCCGTTTGCAACGAGAAATTGTTAGTGTTAGTATTTTTTTAATTGGTTCCGTTTTATTTAAAGCGAACATTATAATTGGTTCTATTTTATTTAAAACGAACATTATAATTGGTTTTAAAACGAATATTGTATTTGATTCCATTTTATTTAAAACGAAAATTATAATTGATTCCATTTTATTTAAAACGAAAATTATAATTGATTCCATTTTATTTAAAACGAAGAGAGAAATGAAATATGAAATTTTTCCCGACAATTTGCTTCATTGACATTGCTTATAAATTGATTTATTGCTCCAAATTAAAGTTCAGTGCAACTAAAAATCAAAATCAAATAAGTCTATTCATTTATAAAAATTGCATAGCACAAAAGTTTTGGGGTAAACAAATCTAACCTTGTCATAGTGGATAGACATAAAAGATTTTCATTTAAAATTCGTTATTCCAAATTACTAATCTCGTCATGTATGCGAAGCAAAAATTTTTAATATTAAATTATAAACTGCCGTAGTGAGATCCCACTTTCACGTGAATTAATTTTTTGTTTACGCGTTTTTTTCTCTTAATATCAGGAAAAAAAATTTATTCAAAATGCCTGTAAATAATTTATTAAAAATAGAAGCAGAAATAAAAACTGTTGGTTTGTTTCATTTCATTCATTCATTTTTAAAATAATTTTATTAAATACGAATTACTAACATTGTATTATTATTTGTTTCCTTATTCCTCAAGAAATTAATCAACTAGTTAGTTCCATAAAGATAATTTTAGATTGACCTCCATCAATAATCAAAATAAGAAAAGGCAAAACCAATAACTCTATTTGGGGTATACCGCAACAAAATTTTATTTGATCGAGTTGATATTTTTGCAGAAAGGCATGGACAAGGTGACTTGGATTAATTGTCAGCAGTTTTAGATAAGCGAGATCTTTAAATTCATCTCTTACAAATGGGTAATATTGTTGGCTTAATATTTTTATGACATTAGGATTTCTCGCTTGCAAATAAATTTTTTTTTACATTTATTAATAAAGCTAACTAAAAAAATCTAATTTATAAAAAATATTGTATCATCAATATCTT